ACTACTAGAACAGAATCAGATGAGTGCAAATCTTTCATTTATTTATATACATACATACATAAATACATTAAGATGCTCCTTTACAAGCCATGAACTTGTTCTTTTACATTGCTGTTTAAGTGTAAACTGCGCTATGACTATTACTACTTTAACAGCCCTGATTTACTCTGGAGTAAACATAATTCTAACAGTTATTTTTTTACAAATCTGAAAGAAACATCCAAGGAGGAGTCAGCTTGTGTGCTTGAAACAACAATTAGATGCATCGACAACCCTGGAATCACCTCCCCTTATTTTTGTCAGTACCTGAAAGGCATTCTATATGCAGAAGTTAAATTTACTCTGACAGAACTTAAATATTTCACATGGGCAGCTAGCACAGCATTCAGGGGTTGGAATTCAACAATATTATCCTAAATAATTTAGACTGTGGAAAGTAATATTTATGGCTTTTGTGATTTGATTAATGTAAGTAGTCAGTACACGAAATAAATGCCCACAGGTGACCAAAAAATAATTACTGTATATATACTGTAGGACGCATGTGTAACAGGAAACATACTCAGAAAATAAATAGCCAACTCTACATTTTATTGGTCTCAAATAGAGTATTTTAATTAAATTATTAGTAATGTTAGGGATTTATTTTGCTTATTGAACTCTACATTTGGATCTGATCAAGGATCATCTGCTGTGTTGCAGAATCTTTTTAAAAATCACAATAATTTCTGTTAATGTTTAAACAGCAATTGAGCGTTTGGAGGCAGCAGACATATTTAAGTTGGAATACTGGTTCTAAAGCATCATAAAACTTGTATTTAAATGGCAATAATCTGAATCACTTGTAAAGTGTTCACTCAAGTGTTGCTCATCAATCAAAAATAAGATTTTTCTCGAACTAAGAGTAAGTTGGAAGAATTTTGCATGTTAGCTATAATTTTAAAGAAACAAAACCTATATCGTAGAAATTAATTTTTTCAAAGGCTAGCTCATAAAATACACAATAGCCACATGTTTACTACCATGACTAACTATCAGCTTGAGAATTCTGTATCAATTTTTATGTTATGCAGCAGATATCAAAGAACAACTCAGGAATGAACAACGGTGACTCACTACCTAACCCACACTGGAAGAATTTTTAAAATTATTAATTTGCTGATTCTAAAAAAAAAGAGCTTCTGATTTTAAAGACCCAGGCTCTGAGAGTTTGTCAAGATATCAGAAACATCAGAACCCTACTGCAGTCAAATCGGGAGGAAAAAAAGAATATCTTGAATATTAGAAATGTAATATCTTAGATGCAGAATGTTACTCCGGTCAGAGAAAACTTGCAAAATGATGTAATAAACTGTTAATGATTTTTTGATAAGTTCTGCCTGCTATTTAATGTCATGGAAACAGAACTTTCAGCTGTGCAATGATTAAAAATGAACACTAGAAACGGTCACCTTTCTTTATATGTAAACAGAAAATGCTGGAGAAACCCAGCAGGTCTGGCAGAATCTGTGGGGAGAAAACAGAAATAAAAGTCCGAAGACTATTCTTTGGAAGAGTTCCAAACTCTCACATCATCTGTTGTGAGAAGTAGACTTACTGAGTTTCCCCCTTCTGTTCTTATTTCAAATTTCCAGCATTCACAGAATTTTGCTTTCAGAAAGTACTGAAGATTGGTTTGAGAAAAATAAAAATGGAGGAGAAAGAAAATACAGACTTTCCAATGCCCCCAGTTATAGTCCCATTTTCCTCATTCCCCTTACCCCTTCTTTGCAGATTATATAGTTGCAGAATGATTGAGGAAGATGAGGTGCAAAAATGATTTCCATTCTGCGTAGAACAGTCCCAGAATTCAAGGTACAGGCTTTCTCATCAGGAAATTTCCCTTCAACGCAGAGTTGTGTCCGACTAACCATTAGCCTCATCAGGAGCTGATTGGACCAAGTCACACCTAGAGCTGGTAGCACTTTCTTATCTAATAAGCTGGAAAACAATTGTAACAGACACAAAATACAGCAATATAATCACACATTAGTAAAATTCTGATTAACCCGAAATATTGCATGCTTTACAAATCAAACAAGTTTCTTTTTCAAATAAATCAGCTTCTAGAATTTTGAGTAACTTCAGTCTGATATTTCTTCCTCTTCATTTGATAATGTAGACTTAAGAGGTCCTGAATGAACAAGGAGCATGAGCGATTATCTTCTCTGCTCTATTTGTGAGGAAGTTCCTCATTTTTGCTTTAGCCCTTATTTTGTTGGGTTGTCTGAATTCATAACTTAATGCAGAAATGGAAACAGGACAAACACATGGTTTTCTACTCTGACACAAACTATTGATATCGATATTTGCTGTGCTGAGATTTATTGTAAACCACAGTATACAACAGGTAGACACATACGGATCTATTTTAGTTTACAATTGCAAAAATGTAACCGTCTCAATTACACAGGAGAAGACAAAGTAGACGATATTACTAGGCAATGGCCTAGTGGTATTATTGCTGGACTGTTAATCCAGAGACGCAGGTAATGTTCTGGGGACCTGGGTTCAAATCCCGCTATGGCAGCTGGTAGAATCTGAATTCAATAAATATCTGGAATTAAGAGTCTAATGATGACCATGAATCTGTTGTCAGAAAAACTAATGTCCTTTAGTGAAGGAAGCTACCATCCTTACCTGGTCTGGCCTACATGTGACTCCAGACCCACAGCAATGTGGTTGACTCATAATTGCCCTCTGGGCAATTAGGGATGGGAAATAAATGCTGACCTAGCCAGCGATGCACTCATCCCATGAATGAATGAAGAGAAAAAAAGCATGACCGAAGATCCGGCTTTCAGAAGGCATTTGAAGACAGAATGCTTAGGAAGACAGATGGTTTAAGTACCAAGAGTACTGGGCAAGATGACAGAAAGCACAGGCAACAAGTAGAATAGTGAGATGGTGGAGGGATGAGTGGGGACCTGAAAGAGACCAGAGTTGAAGAAAGGAGTTTGCACCGGGCTTTAGGGTTCAAGGAACGAGTTTTAAGTTGCAAAGTCATAGAATGACATGTAAATAAATATTGAAATCCTAAAGTTGATATTTTGAAACCTGCAGAAATCATTCAAGATCCATGTCAAATTGTTACGACATGGAGTCTGACAGTGAACGAAAATATAGAAAGTATAAGTCATAAGTTTGCAGACGGCATGAAAATTATTGGTGTTTTTGACAGGGAGGAGGATAGTCTCAGGCTACAGTCTGATATTGATCAGCTGGTAAACTGGGCAGAGCAATGGCAGATGGAATTTAATCCTGCTAAGTGTGAGGTGATGCATTTTGAGAAATATAATAAGGAAAGGATATACACAATGAATGGTGGGTCCCTAGGGAGTACTGAGGGACAAAGCGATCTTGATGTACAAGTTCACAGACCCCTGAAAGGATCAACACATGTGGGCAGAATGGTGATTGCTGTACATGGGATGGTTGCCTTCATTAGCCGGGTCATGGAATATAGGAGCATGGAAGCCTTGTGACAAATTTATAAAATATTGGTTTGGCCACAGATGGAATACTGTGTGCAGTTCTGGTCGCTACATTATTGATGGATTGAAAAGTGTGCAGAGGAGATGACGTTGTCTGAGATGGAAAGTCTTAATTATGAGGACAGACTATAGGGTGTGTTTGTTTGCCCTGGAGCAGAGGAGGTGAGGGGTAAATCTAATTGACATATACAAAATTATGATAGGCAGAGAACAGGATAGAGTGTGAGAATCTTTTCCCCAGGCAGACATGTCTAAAACTAAAGGGCATAAATTTAAAAGGTGAGAAGTAAGTGGTTTAAAGGAAAATAAATTTTCAATAAGTGGGTAGTAAGGATATGGAACATGCTGCCTGGAGGGTAGTAGAAGAAGGTACTCTAACAACACTTAATAAGCACCCAGATGGGCACTTAAAATGCCAGGACATAGTAACCTAGGACCATGTGCAGGTAAATGTGATTAGTGTAGTTTGGTATTTGTTGGTTGGCATTAACGTGTTAGCCAAAGGTCCTGTTTCTGTGCTGTATGACTATGAAATCAGCCTTCCTCTCTATGCAACACAGTAAAATTAAAATCTTCTAAGACTCTCAAAATTGACTCCAAAAGTTCCTAACTAGACTTTTTGAATAACTAATCCCTGACTCTGCGAATAATCAACTCCAGACACTGGCTTATATCTTAAACAAAAGACATAGCAATTTATTACAAATATAGTAACTTCAGAAGAGCAAAATTAGATAAAGTAGTCTAGTTGATACTACAAACTCACAATCCTTTGTTTTCCATCCAAGCACACAAAAGGGAGATAGACAATCAAATAAACAAACAAACACAGTTAGGAGATAAATAAAAGGGAGTAACAAAACTGGCCAGATTGCTGAAATAGTTTTTATGATGTGTTGTTTTACAGGCATAGATGATAGTTTTCTGGTGGATTTTCTGAAGATGTCAACCAGGGTCACCTTTACAGCTCACTCAGATGAAAGCAGTAATAATTATAATCTAGTTTTCTATTCTCTGAGCTTCCAAGAGCTGCTCATAGGAGGACAGGCATGGAGCTTTCAGCTCTTCATGTTGTGGCACCAACAGCCAGATTCTTTCCCTGCAAAAACACTGTCCGAAACCCAAAACTTCCCAACAGACTGACTGTCGCCTCCACAAGGTACCAGTTGCCATTTAACATCTGCCATCTGCTTAAGCATAAGGTCTTTTCCAGACTTGCTGGAACTAATCCCCAGCTACCGACCTCATTAACAGCCAACCTCTGCTATCTATTCAAATATAATGTTCTTTTCTGGTGATGAAACATATGCAGAACCCTTTGATCAGGAACCCAGTTGCAATTAACTTCCAGACTGGGCCTTATAAAGAAACAAAAGCTTGTTTGGTCTGTGTTTCTTTTAACACAAGCTGTTACTCAAAGCCCAAAATTCATCTTTAGTTCACAGTTCCCACTAACAGCTCTAAACCAAAATTGATAAAAGAATAAAATAAAAATATTTTTAAAAATCAGTGGTGAGTGAGATTTGGTACAAAACAGCTATGAAATTTACTGATCGCGTTAGGGATTATGAAGTTTAGGAAATCATTGAGAACATGTAGAAAAGTCTAGAAATGGCAGAGGCATGAATTAGTGTTTTACCTTATTAATTACCAAGCTGTCAGACTTCCTTCAATCAAAGTGATGGACAGTGTTGCAAGTACTGCTTGCTCACTGATACTCCACTTGGGTTCCACTTGGACCATTCAGTCTTGGTCTGAGGAAGGGTCACTGGACCCGAAATGTTAACTCTGTTTTTTCCTTCACAGATGCTGCCAGACCTGCTGAGCTTTTCCAGCAAATTTGTTTTTGTTCCTGATTTACAGCATCCACAGTTCTTTCGGATTTTAATATAAATACTGTGGCTACAAGAGGTGGTCAAAGGCTAGGAATCGTTCAGCAAGTAGAGCAGAAGTCAGAAGTGGATTGGAATATTCTTGATTGACACATTAACCACCACCATCAACATTCACTCTCTTCACCCCAACACACCATCACCTTCAACATTCACTTTCTTTGCCCCAACACAGTGGTAGCAGTGTGCAGTGCCTACTAAATGCACTGCAATAACTCATCAAGACTGCTCTGATAGCACCTTCCACACTTGGAACACCAAAAAGTTAAGAGGTACTGCAAGTTCTCTTCCAATCGACACATTATCCTGACTTGGAATTATATCATGATTCCTTCACAATTGTTGAGGCAAAATCCTGGATTTCCCTACTTAACAGTACTACTTAGATACCTACACTCCAAGGACTGCAGCATTTCAAAAAGGCAGCTCATCACCACCTTCTCAAGGGCAATTCTGCCTAAGCCAGCAACCTCCAAGGAAAAATAAAACAAAGTTTAGTAAGGATGGAGACAGGTGGCATTACACAAGTGAAAATAGGTTGCTGTGATAACTGGATATGGGAACTAGAAGTCAGCATTAATCAATAAGATAGAGAATTTGTACACTGTTGGATTGATCTGGAGGTAGCACCGGCAGCCAGGAAGGAATGAGTTTAGTGGCTAGCTATGCAGTTCTACAACAAATAGACAAGATTGCTTTTGTTCTGCTGAACTTGGCATCATACATGGCTCATTATTATCCTTTCAGCTATCAACAGATATTAATTCAAGGCTGGAGGCAGTAATGTGTACATAGTCAACCTACAACCATCTAAGCAAGCTTGAAAATTACAGAAAATGTTATGTTGAGGTGTCATATCAATCAAGACAAGGATGGAACCTCAAGCCACACAGAAGATAATAACTAATTAAGTGCACAGCCCATTGCAGATGCATTGGTTGAATGGATATGGTATGGATTGATATGGAATCATATAAGAGCAGGGCATGGTGAAATAATTGAAGGAAGACAGTCAATACTGAAAGGCACAGAGAGTTCAAAATATAGCTCAATATGGTTGCAATCACACAGGATGCTGTCAATGACTTTGATGATATGCCTCCAGTCCAAAAAAACACAAACCTTCACCACCACTCTCTGTCTCCTGCATTAAGCCAATTTTGTATCTAATCTGCAAGCTCACCATAAATCCCATGTGATCTAACTTTATTAATTAGTCTACCATGCTGAACCTTGTCAAATGTTTTACGAAAGTCTAAGTAAACAACATCTACTGCTCTGCCCTCATCAATCTTCTTGCTTACTTCCTCAAAAAACTAAATCAAATTTGTGAGACATGATTTCTCTTGCTCAAGATCATGCTGATTATCCCTAATTATTCCTTGTCTCTCCAAATGCATTTAAATCCTATCTTTCAGAAACAACTAGAACAACTCACCCACCACCGAAGTCAGACTCTCAGGTCTATAGTTCCCAGTTGTATAGTTGTAAAGTCTCTGTTCTGATAGATTAATTCCTTTTTGCACTCTCTCTGTGCTTGCCTATCCTATATAATATTGGGACCAGAAAAATGCACAGTACACCAAATGTTTCACAGAATCTTGCTTTGACTATACAAGTTTCCTCTTTTTGAGTTCTATTCTTCTGGAAATGACCAATGATTTATCACTGATGATTCCCTTGATCCCATCTTGCCTCTACTCCATTTGATCCTATTAAATAATTCTCTCATTCAGCAAAAATAATTCATAACATGCAAATGAAAGCTTTCAGGAAAATATTATACTTGCCCAAAATTACCCTGAGGCAAATGAGAGTCATTTACCACGTCTGTTATCTGTAAGAGATAAAGAGAAAAAATAATCATTCTTGTCACATTACCCTTTACTTGGTCAAATATATTTTATACTCAACTTACTTCACTGGGTCAACATTGAAGGCAAGACAGAAATACAGGAGATAATCCTGTGAAGTAAACAAAACACCATTCCTATACTTTGGGTGAAAATGTCTCAATTCTGCTCAGTGCCTCGTCTGGATAAGATCAACAACAAACTTTTACCCTTTCGTAGTTTATTTTCTTGACCTAAATTACTGGTTACATAATACAACTATCATAAATGTTTGTATTTTTCTGCTTTGATTTATTGATTGTTTCTAATGTTACAGCAGCTGCATCATCTTTATTTGTTTTGGTAGTTAAAAAGACTACCAATGTTCCAGAGCGAAGCTCTGGAGTAATTTCATCCATATTTAATGTCTATTTCATCTAAAAAGTCTGAAGACAATATATTTCAGAATCCTAGAATATTTCCTATTAAAAACAAAGCCTACTGTCTTATATTTAGCATTTATATTACTATGTTAAGAGTCCAAGATATGGGAGTCAATGTCAAAGGTGTAATTTATTTCTGAAAAGGTTTTTGAACCACCTTAGTTAGTGCCATTAGTCAAGGACTTCCAGGATTTTAACAGTAACAAGATAAAAATAATAACAGATCCAAGGCAGCACTGATAAAGATTTGGAGGAGAATTTACAAGTGTTGGTAATCTGCGCACCTTGCTCTTTATGTGGCCGGTGGGGGAGGGTTGCAGGTTAGGAGATGCAAGTATATAAAATGTGTAGCTAAGTGTTTAAACAATGTGAATTAAATATTAGTTTGAAAAGTCATACCTGATTGACACAGATGACAGGACTACTGAACTGATGGCTGAGGTGATGGAGCATGGCTCCAAATTTCTGAAGACATTTGGCCTTGGCAATCGAATCGCTGATTCCAAATTCACATCTGAATAAAGCTGCAATTGAATCAATCACCACTAGGCGTACCAAGCCTCGTGACAATAAGACTGGTAGTCTTTTGCTGATGCAGTGATTTAAGGATTCCTATCAAAAACAAAAAGGAGACTGATTTTTCTAAAACATACTTAATACAGCACTTTCTTTCTTCTTTCATAGAATGTGGGGGTTGTTTGCAAGGCCACCATTTGTTGTCTGTCCTAATTACCCTTAATGACTTGCATTTCCGACAGCAGTTAAGTCGAAGAGTCAACCTATTCGTTCTGGAGACACATGCAGGCCAGACCAGGTTAAGATTGGCAGATTTCCTTCCCTAAAGCCTGTCAGTGAACTAGATGACATTTTAACAACAATCAATGATAATTTCATGGTTACCATTACTTAGGCTAGCTTTCAATTCCACATTTTCCTAAATTGAATATAAATTCTACCAGCTGTCATGGAGGGAATTGAATCCATGTCCCTAGAACACAAGCCTGAGCTGTGATTACCAGTCTAATGACATTACCACTATATCCCCATCTCTCCTTGTTGCCATAATTTTGTAATTATATATTTCGTGAAGTGCTAATCTGACTTTTTAAAATTGGTACAGCATCTTGTAGAACATCCCAAAAAGTCATGAGACTGCCCTTATTGATTCACTGTCAATCAAAAGCAGATAGACTGGTGTATTATCTCAGTACAAATCATAAAAAGCAACATTTAGAATTTGATTAACCTTTGGACAATACAGTGGGTCATCTGTCTGGGCAGCCCAATTTCAAAACAAACACCCACAGTTTGGGATGCCCTGTGCTGGTGTATCATACTTTAACCTGTTATCAAAGTAAACGGATTTATTGAAAACAATCTTATTACATTACAGTAGTTTTTTATTTTACGACCATGGAAAATATCAAAGACAAAGGAACTATAAGATGATGTTGGACTCACCACATCTGCAACATGTTCAATAAAAATGTTGTTACCAAACTTAATGTTGTTGACAATATCGGGTGGCACATCAGTTCGTAACATGGATTGAAAGGCAATCAATTGCTGTAATCGTTTATTTGGAAAAGTATCTTCTGTACAAATATACACAGCTCCTGGAAAGATAAGTTCAACAAGTTCAAAAGAGGCGACTAGGGCAAAAGGCAAATTCCTGGACATTTCCCAATGCTCCTAAACAACACAAATTAAAAAATGAAGATAAAAACACTGTGAAGATTGTTGCATTTCATTATCATGAAGATTGTTATGTAGAACTTACAACTGGTTACATTCGGTAGAATCAATTTTATCAATTATCTAGCAAAAATACCCAAAATTTTATTCATTTAATCTGGAGTGCTCTGAAAACGTATGTCCTGTCAAATCAGAGAAATTATTAAAGTTATTACAACTAATGAAGGGAGTGATCGGCTCACCTATTTTTAACTCTCTTTCAGTTGGTCACCACAAATATTTTTCATAAGATCATAGAATCCCTACAGTGCTGACAGAGTCCATTCAGCCCATTGGTTCTGCCCTGACCGTCCGAAGAGCATACCAACCATACCTACACCAACCCTGTCTGGGTAACCCCGCAAATACCATGACTAATCCACCAAGCTTGCACATCCCTGGTCGTTATGGGCAATTTAGCATGGCCTTTTCACCTAATCTGCACGTATTTGGTCTGTGGCAGGAAATTGCATGCAGCTAACTCACTTTGAAAAATTTAGTTAACCAGATCAAAGAATTTAAGGGCACCTATTCCAAACTTTATTGAGGGAAAAGAATTTGTATTTATGACCCATCAAAAAACAAGAAAAGGTGACATCTAACAGATACACACCACACAGGAAGTTGGGGTGGGGAAAGCAGGCTGTCTGAACAGACAGTAAGGTACAGACAGTACAATTTAAGATTTTAAAGAGTTATTGTATTGCAAAACTTGTAGGTAACCTTGACTTCTCAGTGGGCAGTAGTTTTTCCAAAAAAATAAAAAGAACATGGATGCTGGACATCTGAACCAAAAGCAGGGTTCTGGATTAAAAACAGATGTGGTAACATCTGTAGAGAGAAAACTCAATGTTAAGTCCTGAAGCCTGTAAAGTACTGAGGACGAAGACAAGGTGCTGTTCCTCAGCTTTTCCAAGATGCCTTTTCACCACCATTGATTTCTGAGATTGAAAAGAGATGTAAGAAAAACTTGTAATACGTTTGTAGTCAGTCCATGTTGTTTTCTCTCTCCTTCGTTGCTCAAGACAAGCCCTTGATATATGGTTCATTTGCATATTCCAAGTCAAACACCATTGCCTTTTTCAAACTGAAAACTCCTTAGGTAACCTTTCGTCTACAATGTGAAGTTATCACGTCAGTAAAACAAGAGATGCACATTTCTTGATACCCGCTAAGTTTCAGTACCTCTTGATTAAAATGGTAATTCTGTTGGTGTCAGTTTTGGATATTCTATGTAGGTTTCCTTGGCTTAGCAAGTGATTGTAGGAGCCATTTTAGGTCAATAATGTCACATTTTTAAAACAGGTATCAAAGTCAAATGATGCCCGTTGAGTATTGATCATCCATTTTCACTACAATTGTAACAAATTACATATTTTAAAAATAAATGAACTTATCTTGGAAAATCTCTTTTGGGCAGTAAGAGAAAACAATGTACAAAAACAAGCAGAGGCCACATATATTCAAAGAAAATGCTGTCAATTTTGGAATTTTCAGGTACCTCAAATTCATATCCCTAACTCACTGAACAATTTTTTTTTGACTGTTTAACTTGGTTATCATCACTATCCTAAGCGATAATCCATTTATTTTCTCAGTCCTTGAAGAAACGATTTAAGTTTAGTTTGTGGTTCCTCAGCACATTAACAATTAATTAATATTTTAAAAATATCACTTTTTTTTTTTTAAAAGTCACTGCTCCCATTCCCTTTGGACGTTAGTCCTTGAGGAGCTCCTGGATTCTCTGTTCCATATTCATTTTTGACCACTCAGGCTAAAGGCCACAGCACTGCAAAGAATTTGGAAGCTCTCTCTCTAGCTTATTGTTGTACTTTTAATTTTCTTGCTTCTATCAAAGACCTTCTGAGACTATTACATCAATTGCTGTGGCTTGAGTGAGCTTTAAGAGATGCAGACCACCTTTCAAATATATAGGCCAGCTGTATCTCATGCTAACAGCACCCGTATCTGGGACCAGTGCTGAATGTAGAGCCAGCCAGTAGCACATTTCCCATTGAGATCATATTGAACAGCAGACAGAAGTTTAACCAACTGCAACAGTAATCATGCATTACAATCAGAGCTTTACAGAGAGTGCATAAAGATATCTGTTACTTTGAACCGAGCCTTTCTCCCCATTCATTTCTTTTTAAACAGACCAGTGACAACAGCTTTGTCTGTCTTAGCCTCGCATCGTAGCAGATTGAATTGAAACAGTACACCAAATATCCAAAACAGTTTTGTTTTTACCTGCATCTTGCCCACCATAGCTACATGGGAACTGTACAGACAGGGACAGTTGCATGCAAATTTGTGTCTTCCCTGCTGAACTCTCACCGACGATCTCTGTAATTCCCATTAATGGGATTCCACCTCCAAGTAATGAGTCCACTACCGGACAACCCATGCTAAGTTTTTGGTTCTGGGTTGGAAAAGGACATTCTCCATTGTATATCTGGAGGGCTGAGGAAAATACATTAAACAACAAAAAACACAGTTTATTGTATGTAACATTACAAGTCTAAATACTTCGAAATATTTGTTGAAATCAAAAGGTTGAGGTATAATTTACAGGGGCATTGATATACACACACTAACTAAGATTATAAACCCTGGGGAGACATATACTTTTCAATATACTATTTTTATTCTCTTTCATAGTAATAACTCAAAGCTATTTCTTGCCTTTCTTGTTACTTACAGATCCTTACAGGCAGGAAAGCAGACAATAATTATATTGGTTACTGTCACACTCCACATTACCATTGAGATGCACAAGAGTAATAAAAATCAAATCACCAATTTATATTCTCTCTTTTGATCTTTCTCAATCATTTGTTTAAAGAAAGGAAGTATAAATTTGCACTCAAAGAAAGAAATGACTTGCTTATGGATATAAGACATTACTATATGATATTTGCAAGCACAATCTGCACTATAATGCAATTTGTTAATATGTTCAAGCAGTGAAACCTGGGCTCCTGGTTTGTGAAAAATAATCCAAATTATTTATTCAACTTAACTTTACCATTACTCATCAAATCTGTTACTTTTCTTATAACAATTCACTTCTTTGTCTCTCACCCCACCCCACTTCCTTCCTGATCCCAGAACTGAAGTCCCCACAGAGTTCATGATAATCTTGGTATGTAGATATTTGACAAACTCTGCAACTCCCTCTCCTAAAAGAGTTAATCAATTGTTATTAATAGGTGTCAATTCCACAAACCCTTTCCTGTAAAACAGGAAAAGTTTAATGTCTAATCTATGTTTTCCTTCTTCATTCTCTTGTTTCTGCTTCTTCAGCCTTGAAGATGGCGACTCCTGTTGGGGTACAATTTCATAAGCATTGGCTATCCACAAGCATCTCATCCAACGGTTATTTTTAGTGCATGACCCCGCAATGATTTCAGGCGCAGACTTAACCACAAAGATCAAAACAGCTGATCACAACTCATTTTTCATCTGACATCATGTGGATGCTCATAGGAATGCAGTCAGGGTGGAGCACTTGCAGATTTTGCCGATGCCTTGCTGGAGTGCTCAACAATTAATTATTTTGCACTAACTGCCAAACCACCAGAAACTAACTAATAGATGTTATCTGTGGCTTGGACATGTATATTTCTGATGTGGTATGACGGAGACCTGCATTTACCAACTATAAGTTCAAGTTGTGTGTTCATATTCTATTTACAAATAATATCAAAGTCTCACAGCACTTTGGACGGCTTAAATTCATAATTCCCTCAATCTCTGTCGAATAAATTTAAACTCAATAACTCAGAGCTAAGTTCTGAAATGGCTTTCATCACCATTGGCTATATAAAAGCACATTATTAAAATCTCAAACATAAATTATACTTGCATTGTGATTAAGCTCTATAAAACTTAGCTCTTATAAATTTTAAAATGTAATAAATCTGAAGATTTAAGCAAGTGTTATGTAGAAATTTGTTCCTGCAAAATATTAAACTGAAGTCATCTAAATATCACTGAACATTAAATAACTTTAAGATTCATTACAAGACATCAATTTATTCAAAGCTTCAGAACGATTTGTGAATTACTGCTAAAACACATACAAGACATTTTTAAACGTTTATTTGGCACTGATTTCTGATCTTGCAGACATAAGATTATATTATAACTTTTACGTACCTGTTACCACAGGATCACTCTTTATTGTTGCTGCGACAGTTTTATGCAGATACTGCACATCAGAACTGGACAATTTAGTGAGTCTCTGCAGATCTGGTCCCGAAAGACATAAGATTTCTTTCATTGATTGGATGTTTGCTAAGACAAAAAAGATTTTTTTTGTGAAAAGAGCACTACAATACATACATGACTGTGATAAACCAGACCAGAAACAACCACTGAGAAAGCAAGAACTGCAGATGCTGGAGTCAGAGATAACAACATGTGGAGCTGGAGGAACACAGCAGGCCAGGCAGCATCAGACGAACAGGAAAGCTGACGTTTCGGGTCAGGACCTTCTTCAGATTTTTTCTGAAGAAGGGTCCCGACCCGAAACGTCAGTTTTCCTGTTCCTCTGATGCTGCCTGGCCTGCTGCATTCCTCCAGCTCCTCACTTTGTTATCAGAAACAACCATTATTGCCATTTGAGCCACATATGGTCACAAGAGCTGCCAATTCTGTACACAATAATAGGTAGATAGCAGTAATTCCTTCATCAAAATAACAAACCCTACTGTTTATCATTCAATGCAAAACAATAAAATGTCTATTAAATAAGACAGATATTTAACAAAAGCATATTGCATATTCGTTTCCATGTTAACAATTCTACAAAATTACATAGGTCTGAAACTAACAGAGAATGCTGGAGAAACTCAGCACGTCTGGCAGCAGTTGCGGAGGGAATTAATGTTTCAAGTCTGGTATGAGTCTTCTGAAGAAGAGTCAAATGGAGGACAGTGTTCATGGTCTGAAGTTGTAGAACTAAGTGTTGAATTCTGAATGCTGTAGAATGCCCACATGGAAAATGAGATGCTGTTCCTCCAGCTTATGCTAGGCTTGCACTATAAGAGGCGTTGGTCAAAAACGTTAGCATAACAGCAAGATTGTCTTGTAACAGGAAGTGACCATAAGGTTGGGGTGAAACTTGAAAGCTGAGCAGTGCTCCAAAAAGAAGTCACCCAGTCAGCTTCTAGTCTTGCTTCTGTCAAGGAGACCACAAATAATTGCAAAGTAACTGCAGATGCTGGAAATCTGAAATAAGAAGAACAGAAATTGGTGGAGAAACTCAGCAGGTCTGGCAGCCTTCATGGACACAGGAAAATACAGTGAAAGTTGACTCAAAATGATTTCCTCAGAACTGAAGGAGACTGCACTGAGTAGTGAACAGGCTAGATTGAAAGATGAACAGTAAATTGCTGCCTCAGCTGAAAGGTGTTTGGGGCCTTGGACAGTGAGGACAGAGGACGTAAAGCAGCAATTGTTATAAGCCCAGCAACTGCAATTAGGAAGGTATCTGATACCATCACTTCCAAGTTTCTGCAGCACTTTATTTTTATTTCAGATCTCCAGCATCCTCAGTTCTTTGCTTTCAATTTCCTTTTAAATGTTACTCCATATTGGGTTTACATTACCAACATTACATTTTTTTTAATCTCCATTCATTGATTCTTGTTGCAACTGTACAGGACCTTAGTGAGACACACCTGGAGCTTTGTGTGCAGTTTCAGACTCGCTGAAGAAGGATTAATCTGGCTATGGAACAAGGGCAACAAAGGTTACCAGACTGATTCCTGATGCACGTAAAGAGACTAGATCAGTTGGACTATATTCACTGCAGTTGAGAATTAGGGGATCTCACAGAATCCTATGAAATTCTAAAAGTACTGGACAGGGTAACCGCAACAAAGATGTCCCTGATGACCAGAGAACCCAGAACCAGGGTGTCACAGTTTAAGGATATGGAGTTAGGAGAAAATATCAGAAGAGGAGAATTTTCTTCACCCGGAATGGTGAGCGTATGGAATTCTCTGTTCCAGAAAGTAGTCCAGGCCAAAACATTTGATTATTTTTTTTAAAATATAGTTCTCAGGGTTAAAGAGGTCAAAGGACATGGGGAGAAGGTGAGAACAGGGCATTGAGTTGGATGATCAGTCATGATCATATTGAATGATAAAGCAGACTGGCCTCCTATTTTCTATCTTTCTGTGAGGCTTCCTGACCTGCAGAATGCGCCCAGCACCCGCAGTTTGAATTACTCACAAACACACCTTGCTTAACTGCAGCCACCACTTTAGGATTCAGATCTAAGTGACTCCAGTCCATCGCGGGCTCTCCCGCCTTCAGTGATTGCCACCAGCCGGTCGGCCCATCGAAACCGGGCAGTGTGGAGGGAGCGGGGATCGCGCGAGCCGGAGGTCATGGGTCACTCTAACTGCCCCTCCCACAAACAGAACACCGCGTCCTCGTCGGTATCATCACTCTGATATCGGAGGAAGTTCTCGAGTCCATAACAAACACCACTGAAAATAATCGCATACCCTCCACCTCTTCTGTATCCTATGAAATATTTCAACATTCTTACTCTATTCGACAGTTTATTGTAATTCTCCATCCTGAAGTACTACATAATGTGATCATGAAGAACCTAGCCTGGAAGTGCGGCTGTTTTCCAAAGTACACGATTGGCTGAAGCGGCACTTTAAAGGATGGTGATTCGCCCGGGTTTCTGTATTCGCCGACGTTTCAACATGCTGCTGTTTGATTGGCTGATATAAAAGACAGCCCTTCGGTCCGTAGGCAATAATTGACAAAGCTACCACGTAGGGGATATCGAAGTTTTTCTGATGAAGGGTCTAGGCCCGAAACGTCAGCTTTCCTGCTCTTATGATGCTGCTTGGTGTGCTGTGTTTATCCGGCTCTACACCTTGTTATCTTAGGGGATATCGAAGGATTGGCTGAGGCGTGCGGTTGGATATCTGTGATCAGATTGGCAGATATTGGAAACGCCTGGGGTCTGACTGAAAGCGATTCAAGATACTCGGATCTGATTGGCTATGATGTGTGCTGCCGGGTCTGATTGGCTACTCTTTGAGACATTCGTATTATGATTGGATTTCCAGTGAGATGCTTGGGTCTGATTGGCTGTAGCGTGATGAGCCTGGGCCTGATTGGCTGTGGTTGCCAACCCTGGGTCTGATTGGCTATGGGTTGAGGAGTCTTGGTCTGATTGGCTGTGAGGTGATGAGACTGGGCCTGGTTAGCTGTGGTTAAGAAACCTGGGTCTGATTGGCTGTGAGGTGAGGGGCCTGGGTCTGATTGGCTGTACTATTAGATAGCGACTCGGGTGGCACACTCGGCTAACATGGCGGCTACGGCCGATGGGAAGAAACTGGTACGTAGTCCGAGTGGACTCCGAATGGTGCCGGAAAACGCGGCGTTCAGTAGCCCCTTCTCGCTCGATGAACCTCAGTGGGTCCCAGACAAAGAGGTAAGTGGCTTGTCTATTCGAGCCGGGCACAGATGGCCACAGTTCTAACCCGCGACCACTGTTGTGCGTTCTGAGGAAGGGTCCCTGGACCCGAAACGTTAAACTGATTTTTTTTTTCCGCAGATGCTGCCAGACCTGCTGAGCTTTTCCAGCAACCTCTGCTTTTGTCACTGTTGTTAAGGTTGGGTAACAGCTGCGTGCCGAGCAGCTCAGTGGGTGACCCATCCTGTCAATTATTTTTAAATTCGTTCTTGGAAGATGTGCGATCGTAGCTGGGCGTTATGTGTTGAAGTGGGCTGAGCTGAGGCGGGTTGGCGGGGGTGGGTAGCAGCTACGGCAACATCGTATTAGATTGTTTATAAAATGTTGCTGTCGGATTTAGTCCGGTGGCGTTGAAGTGAGAGAGGCGTCGCTCGTTTATAGCCCATCTGATTTTGAGTTCGGTTTGTTTGTTTGTTTGTTTGTTTGTTGCTGCCTTTCTAAAGTAATTGTGAAAATGTCGGTGAATGGAAGAAAAATTCAAAAGGAGTGTAGGTGCTAAGAGTAGACTATTCAGCCACTCAAGTCTGCTCTGTCATTCAGTATGATTGTGGTTCTTCTTCTCAACTTCGGGGTTTTTTTTTCGGGGGGTGGGGGGGGGGGGAGGGTGGTTTCGTCCAGTTCGAACACAACTAAATTCTGTGGTCAATAAATTGTGCCTCAGTGAGTAAACGATTATTTTTTTTTAAGTCCAGCGTTTCCGGTGCGCACGCAACCACACAAGGATGGTATTCCTTTTCCCTGTACCAGTGTTTGTTACAGGCAACTGTTTGGACAGTCTGCTTCACTTTGGTGCTAGTTTGTATGGATTTCTGTGTTATGATCAGTGTTTTATAGGAAGTAGATTAAGTCTATCCAAGTTTACCTCATAGATAGTAGGAACTGCAGATGCTGGAGAATCTGAGATAACAAGG